TTGGAAAAATAGTCCCAATCTTGCTTCTTTCAATTCAGTATTTGCCATTAGCTCGCAAAATTAATTGCGTTTTCGCCCATTTTCAACCAAAATTATAATTAAATTATAAAAGACGTATCTGAAAAAAAACTAATTTTATATTAGAAATTTAATTATAAGCTGTCATTTGAGTAAAACTGAGTCATCAAAGTCATCGATGAATATAAATGAGCAAAAACATTAAATCTTTCGCACAGCTTTAATGCTATGGAACATAAACATTTTAGTCATAATGAAGCGAGATTTCCGTCGTAGATGAGTAATGAAGCATGAAAATAGTGTATAGATTAATTAATCAAATAAGCAATGTTAATGTTTGTCAGTAATATTTATAATACTTCTATTATATATGCTAAAATATATTATGTACAAAAGCAAAGATCCTTTCTGCCTTTAACTTATGTTTCAATGTTTCAACTTATGAAATTGCTGTTTGAATCAGATTGATATCTTATCATAAATTGTTCAAATATATCCATCTATAGAACATTTTACTGATCCGTAGCAATCAAAATTTTTGTGGTGATTATCGAAAATTCATTGAGTACCATTAAACATTCATTTAAGGAATGATTGTTCTAATGTGGAAAATTTGTTTGAGAAAGGGAAAACACAATTAGGAAATTTAAAATAAGAAAATTAACTAGAGATTACTCAAAATTATGAATTTAGAAGAATTTGAAAAAATAAAATTTTCGGAAAATGGTGAATGAAAAATGATCTCTCTAAATTTTCTTATTCATATTTGGCAGAAATCAGAGAAATGTTATTTAAAAAAAAAGTAATTTTCTTAAAAAATTAAAAATAAAAATTAGAAATTAAAAATAAAAATTAATCTCTAAAAGAGAAAAGAAAAATCTCCATAAAAAGAATGTTGTTTTATGCTTTGATTTATTTTAAAAATATCATAACTCATGAAAGCACTAATAATTTAAAAACTCGAAAATTATATTCTTTTGCCATCATAAAAAAGAAAAAAAATTACAGATGAGCAGAAATCAGCTAAAATAAGATCGTCGTTAATGAATTCGCATGAAATAATCAGGCAATATGCTGCAAAGAAGCTTTCACGAATCGCATATTATATATATATATATATGAAGGAAGGTCGATTATTTGTTTTCTGCGCATAAGGGTGAATCTACTATTAGTGTGGCTTTTTTCTTGAAAATTTTATAAAATTATCTGAAGGGAAAAGGAAAATCCTTGAAAAATCAGTGGCTCTCATGAATAAGAATAAATAATAAATAATTTTAAAAAAGGAAATAGCAAAATCATAAATAGCCTGCTAGATATTTCCAACAAATAACTAGGAAAATATGAAAATCTATTCCACTTCAGAATGACAGCTCTGGAATTATTCAGAGATCTATGAGAAAAAATAAATCGACTTCAGCGGATTTTTCCATTTATCAATAAGGAAGACTTAATTTCAACTTCGTTTTTTTTTTCGTTTCTTGTTGCCATAGCAGAGCTAACTACAAGTAATTATCATAAATAATAAGAGTAAGTTATACGAATCTAAAAAAATTTTGCTTAATGTTTTTTTAAAAGAATTGCAGTAAAATGAACAAAAAACAATAATTTTAATAAAATACAAAACCATATTGGTTGAGATTTTATTTCTGATTTTATTTCTGTATTAATGTTCAAGAAAAACTCAAAGATTCAAAAACTCAAAGATTTAGTTTGCTTAGGCTTCATAAAAGCTTCCCATACGAGCTTTTGACAGATCGATCGGCACATACAGATGCACAAATTAAAAATAAGAGGTCTATTGAAGTAAACGGACAATTTTTGCGAAAAAATATTTTGCAATATTTGTTCCCTAATCTATATTTCTTTTTCGCTTGAAAAATGAGTAATGGTATGATGGTAAAGAATTAAATTATCGAAATTGTCACTAAATCAATGAAAGAAAAATGGATTTGAGATTAAAATTATTCCCTCAGAAAAGTCTGAATTTTTTCAATTTGGACAAATTGTCAAAAAAATTTGCTTTCATTATTGAAATCTTTGTACTGTACTCTGTAATGACTGATTAATCGATTTTTTTCCAGTACCAAATTTTTTAAAAATATTTTAAAACTCAAGAAATTAATCAGTCATTGTATCAAAAGAGAGAGCAGTTTGTTCTATTGCAAAAAGTTGAGGTTAAAACAGTCTCAGAAACAATAAAAACAGAAAAGCTGGACGATAAACCTTTCGTTGGATGACGCTTATTTTTTTTAATGCAATGGTACTAATTAATTTTTCTCCATTCGTTTTTTAATGACCGAGGTACGATAAAAATTAAGAAAAAAAATTAATCCTAACCAATTAATTTTAATACTGTTGATGCCGGCGACTCACCTATAATTTTATCACTAAGGGACTGCCTGGCATATCTGTCTAGTCTGATAAGACAATGGAGCGAGTCTAACCCATAATGGTGAGTGCTAAAAGAATTACTTTTAACAGTAACTGATAATCAATTTACGATTTTAAATTGTATGGAATGCAAAGTTTTCCGAAAAAATTTTAATTTCTATCTAACAATCAACTTCCAAATTTATAATTGAAATGTTTTACCTTAAATAAATAATAACTGGAAAACTAAAGACAATTTAAAAAAGTTTTAAAAAAGCATGAACGGCTAATCGAGTCATATTTTTCCTCTAATAGTCATTCACCATTTCTGTTTGGCTGCTCTTTCAACAGAATCGAACTCATTCATTAGAGATTCTAACTTTTAATGGAGAATTGATTCGCCCCAGTGGGAAGAATCAGATCTACGAGTGCATAATCTCAGTGGCAGCAATATGCACTCGACGTCCCTCTTCATGTAATGTTGCAGAAGCTATCAAATTATTCAAGCTTTAAAATGGCACGTAAACGTAACGTTGTTACAAATGCAGTGGTAAAATCTTTGGTTATGTGGTAAGAATCTATTGAAGCGATTTTATAAATAATCAATTAGTAGGCTTAAATGATGAATTTTTAAAAGAAATTTTCCAAAGTAATCAATCAAATCAAAAAAGTTTTGAAGAAATAAAGTTTAAATTCAACAATAATACTATAATAACTGTGATGAACCTAGTGATTGTACAGGTAGTAATAATTATTTCATATAAATATATTATATGTCATATTGTTTCATATAATATAAAGAATAATAGCACAAATTTAATAAGAAATTTTAATGTAACGCTTTAATATATATAATAAGAGGCAAAATTGCAAATTAAATATTGTTATGTATATTACTAGCTTACACAAGGAAACAGCTGGAAACATTTTCTCAATATACACGAGAAAAGCGAGCAAAATATAAGCTAATAATTGCAACTCCTTCAGATTGAAGAGGTTTAAGAATTTTAGATTTTCTTCCAACAAATGGCTGCCTTAGTTAATGAACTTGTGTAAGCCCACAATAAATCTTCGTGCGTCAGAAGCAATGAATTTCGCGCATTGTTCTTTGCTAATCTGACCAGCTGAAGGTGCATATATTTCTAGATATTTCATCCATTGATTCTACTTTTCCTAAAAAATATCATTGCTAGTTAGGCTAAAACCACTGGTTGCAGAGGTAAGTTTTCCAGCCTCCTTTTCAAAAATCGTATCTAAAAGCAATATTCCTTTCCCATCCGTCTGAGCTGGAGAGCTTATAAGTCCAATATCTCTTTTGATCTTGTCAACCCAAATATATTAAGTATATGAATCAAATTTTAAATTTAATTGTATAATTTTTAACGAAATTTTTTAGTCATTTGTACCAAGATACTTCAAAATAAAAAATAGCCAAAATAAAAAAGCCATAGATTTCTCATATCATCAGAAAGCAATTAAAGAAAAAGAAATTAGCCTGAAAATATTATAAATTTCATTCAATAATTAAATAATCTGTAGCTTTGCTTTGCTTTAAAAGAATAATTGTAATCGTTCTTTATTAAAGATTAATAAAAGTTATTTCTGCAATAAAAGAAGAATTTGATCCATCAAAAAAAAATCTAAGATACCCGAGATGCTTCATTTTGAATTTTATGCATTTATGTACATTTTATTGTAGAATAAAAATCCGTGTCGTAATTTTCAGATGCTACGTAGCGAATAAGGATGTATGATATTTGTATAAACCATAGTTTTGAAAAAAAATAAGAAAATTCTAAAGGAATTGACAAAGAAAAATGTGAAAATTGACGCATTCCTAAGAGACCATAACTTATCATCAATCAACTAAAAATTCAGAATATAACCATCTTTAGAGGATTAATTCATTCCTGATTTGTACAAGGCATTTCCAAAAATTCATGGCTCACAATACAAAATAATTGAGATTAATGATTGGGAAGGTAAATATGCTTAAAATTCTATAATTTGATCTATGTAGATTTGATCTATGTAAATGTAATAATGAAATTAGGCCTATTATTGAATTTTGTAGACGAATAAAAGAAAGAGAATATATATCGTACTTTTATTTCCTTACACATGCTTTATATATTTTGTTAAGGCACGAAAGGCATATTTTTGAGAACAATTTTTCAAAATAATAATTAAAAGAGCAACATAAAATATGAACAATAACATAATAATAACAGTAACAGTAACAAATGAGAATTTAAAACATTACAAATATATGATCAAAATAATAAGAAATTAACAAAATCTTCAGTCAACAGCATTATCTGCATTGTAAGAAATCAGATTTACCAGTGTCATTAACAAGAAATGTCAAGGCATTGCACTGAATTCATTATATAAATACAAAATAAAACCAGAAGTCAACATTAAGAAAAAAGTTATTAATAGGGGTTGCCATTTGATGGAAATTTGCAGAAAAAAACTTATTTTACCAATTTTTTTTACTCAGAATTATATAAACCCTCATTCATGCTTTTGGAAACATGTTAAAGCAAGTATTTTATTATTTTTAAAGGAAACATAAAGATTTATGAATATAGGAGAATTATAATAGCGGTTCAGTCAAATAGTTCTCGTTTAACATTCATTTTCGAGTGCATCTGCTCAGCAGACATTTGTAGAAGTGAGGTGAGATCACATACAAAACGATACACGTAACGTTTTCCAGGTGTCTTATGGATGATATTTTTATCATAATAATATCGCAAGCCTCGCGACAATTTCTCATAATTCATCTGAAAAATGACTTGGTAATCAATCAGAAAATTTGCAAATTTCCTATGCAGAAGTTCCTTATTCCATTTTGACAGTGTAATATTGGGCAAAAGAAGAAATATCTTTGCTTGTTGCCATATAACATCGTTGTCCTGCATTTCTTATTTCTTATTCTTGTTTACGCTTATATGCATGAGTTTCATAGATAAATCAATCTAATGATGACTTAATGATCCCTATTTCAATTAAAAAAGTTCTATAATATTGCCAAGGTTATGGCTGTGAATCAAATGAGTATGCATGTTAGGAAATTTCGAAGAATAAAATGGTACATTGCTAAAATTAGATGAAACATAATTTAAAAATTAGATGAACTTGCCTCGGAAAACAACTAGAAAAACTTATTGCGAAGTTGGCCTTTTCATGGTTTTTTAAATTATTGCCCGATTTGTTCATTTTTTAATGATATAAGATGTTATACTCAGCAAAGTTCGAGTGTCTCTGCTGACCTACTTTTTTTTTTACTTCGCCAAATGATTTTGCTGGCAAAAAATTTTGACCGCCAAAGAAGCTAGTGTGACCAGAAGTGGTGGTGGTGAGCACTGACTTATTTATTTATTTATTCTACAGAATTATAATAAAACTCGCTTTCAGTCATATCTATATTTGTTAATGTTTCATTATGGAAATTTTCTACGGAAATTTAATAAATCGAAATTTTCACTATTTTTTAATGAATAAAATGAAAAACTAAGTTGAAAGGCCGAATTATAAAAAATTCGATAGTCATCGAAATAATTTCATAATTGATGACATTTTGTTCAAGGTCTTGATTAATGAATAAATTTAGCATTGATTAATGAATAAATTTAGCAGTGGTTTGATTGATTGAAAAACGTAAAAAAAAGTTTGTTCATATTTAGGTCCAAACGGAAAAAAGGCTATTTTTCGATCCAAATTTGCTTCACCATTATATTATTTGACTCGATTAGATTGAAATTTGCAGAACAGTATGGATATATATATATATATATATTATATAGATATCTTTTATCAGATTTTATTCAGAAGGACTAAATTATCCAAAAAAATGATGAACCTTAGGTTTGTTTTTGCGAAGTCCCCACTTCCTAGCAACCTCATCAGGATCATTCAGTTTAAATTCCCATCCGTTTCCAGTCCACGTTATACATGATTTAGCCGATTCATTCATCAGAAGTTCTAATAAAAATTGCCATAATTGTATTGGACCTTAAAATATGGTAATTAACTCTTTTTAGCACTTTTTATGTGAAAAAATGGGAGAGAATAAGATGATGAGAATATTTAAGACTTCGACAATCGATCTAGTCAGTCAAATTGAATGAATGAAATGAATCTTATGAATCTTAGTTTTACATAAACCATTACTATGGAGATAAAAGAAAGAGGATGGAGGAACCTGTTAAGCCCGGGAGGCTTAGAACTGAAGGGGTTTGTCCATATTCGACGTCAGTTTCAGAGCTCGATGATGGCGACATTGATTCACAACATTGTTGATTAAGAACAGAGTAATTATGCAAATTAGAATAGTTTAAATATGAAGACGAATATTGGTTTCCTATATATGGACATTTACTGTTCCATTCATCTGAAGCTTGTTGAGAATGAGGTAACTGTGGCAATACTGATGGCTTTCCGTATAAATAGCTATTTTGAGGATACAATTGCATCGATATGCATTCTTCACTTAATGACGATGGCTTTTCGCCTAAAATCGACAGATTTTTGAAGATTTCTTGATAGAATTTGTTAGCAATCACAGTCGATTTCCTTTATATTTATATTTTTTCCTACACTTTTTTTTAAAAATTATTCATCATATTAATCATTTAATCAACTTTTGATCAAAATCTTAGTGTTACAGTGGAATATTGAAAGTGGTTAGCGAAGAAATTGAACAAATGTCGGTAAAATAGTGAAAAAAATAGGAATATGGGATAGTAAACTCGAATCATAAAATGTACAATGTAACAAGCCTAAAATTCACAAAAAAAAGATTCGGATGAAGATTTGGAAAAAAATTTCTCAGCTTTGGATTATTAATAGCGAATAATCACTATGTTGAATATTGATAATCCTAAATAGACTTTCTAATAAAACAAAATATAAAATTAATTACCAGAAAATATTGCAGGACAAAACGAAATGGACCCCTGACGTGTATCATAAGGATCACTGCTTATCGAAGGAGTCCCATGAAGTTCATTTGACGGGTTGTAAAATGAATTATCATAACCTATAATAAAATATATTAGTTCAAAGCATAAAATTTATAAAAAATAATAGTAAATTGAGATTGCAAACATGGTCAGTACAGGCAATTGGATGATTAATCTGTGAAAGTTGGAGAAAATACAAATTAGTCTCCAATTTTTTGAAATGTCTTATGCCTTAATTCAAAAAAGATCCATTCAAAAAAGGCTTAAAGAGCTTTCAAAAAAATGGCAACTCTGCGAAGTGGTAGGCAATAGTGCTTTCAAAGGTAAACACATAAATTTTCAAAAATGTATTTTTTAAAAGATCCAATTGATTTCCTAATGCCAATTTATGGATCTACACCATCTCTGGGACAAGTTTGGTTTCTTCTAAAAAACCTCATTTATTGTTATAATTTCATAGTATTTAGGCTAAATGGCTCAGTTTATGATAGTTTCATTTTTGCCAAAGCTTTCTACTATCGGCATGAGGTCCTTGTTCTTCAAAAATGCTATGATGCAGTGATACTAATAATTTACCTGTGCTTCTATAGTCAAGTGATTTCCTAGAAAAATTTGTCTGTCTTCTAAGCCGGCGAGAGTAACCGGAAATAATGAGAAAGAAATTTTAATTTATTGGATAAAAACAATCTCATTTTTGGAATTTAACCAAGGGATAGTTCTGTGTTTCTTGTCTAAGAATATTTACTAATAAAGATTACTAATATTTCACAGGTCTTACCAGTGTTACCAGAAAATTACTTATTTGTATTGGAAATGTGGGCTTATTATTATGGACCCAGTAGAAATCATACTTCTTGTCTACTTTTCATTTATGATCTGTGAAATTTAATATATTCTAAATTCAATAAAAGATTGATTCTACTGAATAAATCATTTTGCCAAAATATCATTATACAGTATGGTATAATAAATAGAGTATCTTTCTAATTCAATGGTCTACTGTAATAAGAAATTTTTTTTTCTCATTAAAATAATGAATTATTGTGGATATTTATACTGGTGAAAATAAGCAAAAAAATTTGGAAAAATTACCTAAGAAAAATGATTTTTCACCTGTGGATCCTTTTGGTGACGAAATAAAGTTATTATTTGAGCACGCTGATTCTGATAATGAATAATGGCAAGAACTGAAATCTTTTCTTAGCATCTCAACATTAATTCCGCCTGCTGTACTACTAAAATAACAAACAAATCTGTAAACTTTTAAAATAATTATCGAACTAACAGAATTAAAACATAAAAATCAGATATCACAGCAACATCCAAGCTACAGAAATTTTAAAATATCTATCACTTGAAATATCCAGAGAATATCACCGACATGAAACAATGGTATGAACCATATTCATAGAGTATAGATGTTATCAGCACATTTTATTTCAATATGACTGAAGATAACCTTGTGGGCATTATTATTTTAAATTTGTTATCTAAGTTTTTCACTGTGAACATGAATTATTTTCAAGACAACTTGCTTCTTAGATAGATGCTTAGATAAATGATGACTGAAGGATAGGTCTTTTGAAAATATCTGACCATTGCTTTCTCCGTTAATTGATGAAAACATATGCGATAAACAAGCAAGGATAGTGGTAAATAACAAGCGGAAATATCTAATTCAGAAATAAATATTAAATTAATAATTAATTAATAATTTTAAAAATATTAAGAAAAACAAAAATATTATAAAAATAATAAAATGTAATAATTATAGAAAATATTTGCTTGTTGGATAGATGTCATGCTTGATGACACATGAATGGTGTACGGCAACTGAAGGATAGGCAATTATTATACCTGCGACGATAAACAATGTTAACAATGGGAAAGCAAGGTCAAATCTAAAGTTTGCACCAAAAGGGATAGATCTTGATGAAATGCTCGATGGTCGTCATTTCTAGTAATCATTCAACCCAAGGCAGAATATTTTTGGCAGGAAATAAAAATAATCATTCATAGCTTCATGACAGCAGTCATTTACAAAATTTGCGACAAGATTTCAAAAAATTGCTTTCTAAGGCTTTTTCTTCAATTTGTGAATGTGTAATTTTTTTTTTAAAATTACCCAAACCCAAAAAAATTAGCTGATATAACATATAACTTAAGTACAACTATAAAAGCCACAAGCTCTTCAGAAACATGGATTATGAACCAAAATGATGCATTTTATTCGAAATATTTCGAGATTGCCATGGAATCAAGCATTTTGGCTACTATATTGCGATAATTTTTCATAAGAAAAATTTAAGAAATATATTTGAAAAGTACATGCCAAATATATTTTCACAAAAAATAAATTCCAAAAGTGAGACTAAGAAAAATAATACAATTTGGACGAATCTAGATTTTTTTTAGGATATCCAAGCAGTTTTATCGTTGCTTTTATGCATTAATCTATTTAACTTATTTTTAATCCAATTTTAGTAAATTGCTACAAAACAGAGGATTAATTTTGCAGTGGCGCCATAGCAAAAATTAGAAAAATTCTAAAATAACTGGTGTCAAATCTAAATTTGAACAAAATTTATTTTTTAAAAGCCAATTGCATCATATATTATTTTCATTTTGGATACGGTAGGAGAAAATGCAAATCGTAAATAGATGTACCATTAGTTTGAAAAAGGTCATTATGGATCAAATGATTGCTATTGGGGGATCAAAATTAAATGAATCACCATATTTCATGCAATGGAATCTGCTGGTTATTATTCATTAATAGCAACGTTCGATTTATGCGCGAAAGTGAAAATAACGGCGGTATCTTCAGAGCAATTACTACTGCAATGGAAGCCATTAATTGCCGATGACGGTTTGGATTATTATTGAATTAATCCCGTCTAGTGGTCAATAATTATCAATAATTTTAGAGAAAGTATGTTTAACCAGGATAGAGTTTTGCGAGGTTCTTCTCAGCTATAAGTACTTGTAATTTTCTATTCTTTCTCTAATTTCTCTAAAGCCAAAGAGAAGAAAAACTGATAGATAAGCTTGAATTGATGAGGAATGGCAAGAAATTTCGAGGATGTTGAAGTCCAGAAAGTTGAAAAAGTTTAAAAATGGGTTAAGCACCTGAGTAGAAAAATGGAATGTCGAGAACAAAACTGCTGTGAACTAAGAATTACTGTAATAAGATAACTATGAATGAAATCAAGCGTTCATTATTCATTACATGGAAGGTAGTGACCATGAACACATCCGGTCTACAAATTACTACGATGAGCTTCAAAAGTTTTGAGAAGGAGGAACGAAAGAAAAGATAAATGGCATCCACAATGCAGTTCAAAGAAAAATATAAAAACTATTTGATAGCTCATGAACTAAAAAGATCAAGGATTTATATGAATTGATTTTAAAAAATAAATATAAAGATGAAAAGTTTACTTTGTAAATTATTCTTTGCTGATTTAAGCTTACTTTTGTGTCATTTTACAATATAGTACAAACTCCAAAGGAATTCATTTTACATAATTCTCTTGCTAATTAAAGCTAAATAAACTGTCTTAAGAGATTTATATATATATATATATATATATATATATATACCTTTGCCAAATTTGTCTTTATTAGTTTTTTGCATAAATATTTTACATCAGGTAAAATATTTTGAAAGTAATAACTTCTTTATATGAAAATAAGAGAGTTTCGATAGAAGTCACTGTAAAAATATTTAAATGAGCTGAATAGCCACCTCTTCTTCGAAACAAATACAGCAACAAATACCCCAAAAAGGAATCAAAAATCATAAATTTTTCGCTAATTTACGGATTTACGTAAAATGACACCTTCAAATTAACCAAATAATTTTTCAATGCGCTATAATCAAGCCTTGAATCATCACTTATTTGCTGGAATTTATGCTTAATTTCTTTAAGCTTTCAATTTATTGAATCCATATTTTGCATTTTGCTAGGTAAGCGTAACTTTCAGCGTAGATATCATGGTTTGGTTCCTACTCTGACTCAAATAAAAAACTTAGCGATCAGAACATGCTTGAAATCCATTTATTGTTATATCTCCAAGTGAGTTGTTTGAAATTAAGGTATGTTTATTTATTATGAGAGTTTGGATAAGGTTTAACCTCTATCTATGACTAGGTAGATAATCAGCGGACAACCTCGCTCTTTGAATATAATCAGCATAGCATTTAATCTGGAATTCAGTTTTTTTAGTGAAAAGTAATAATCATCTGCTTTATAATTTAAATATCAAATATCTGCTTTATAATTTAAATACCTACATGTTAAATAGCTGGGTTTCGCAGATCAATTGCTTCAAAAATTAAAAATTAGCCTTCAGGGAAAAAATCCCTGAAGAAATAAGGGGGAAATATTAAATTTGTTGCCGGCTTGTTTATTTTTATAATAAAATAAGCAAAGTTAGCTTTTTTGTTGCTTCATAGCCAAAAACGTTTTGTACGGTATAGGGGTGGAGCAATAAAATATTTTAATATTAAAGCTCGTTGATTTGAGGTTGCCAATAAAAAAAAGCCGAGTGTAATTCATTGATAGCGAACATCGAAAACATCTGCGATTTATTTTTAAAAAAACTTGAATAATACATATTATCTGCATCCTCAAATTTCACAGATCCAGCAGGTGAAAATCCGTCAATAATGAGCCAATAGCTTCAATAAATTAAACAATTATTATGATAGAAATTTACTTATATTATGAATGAATTGCAACAATGCATTTTTAGTTCTACGTATGAAATTAATAAATGCCTAGTAATATTCACGATAGTATAACTTTGCTGGTCTGCGACAAACAAGAAATAAGCAAGGGTTAAGCGAATGATTTGACCAAAATTAATCTATTAATTGTAGATAAACCGTATTTTAAGAAAGAATTTCGCTCAACATTACCATTCGTAAAGACTTTCTAGTGAAGCAAGTTAGAATGGATAGTGCCACTAATAATAAATTTAATAGTTCCATTGATGGCTTAAAATAAAAGGATACAGAATTATTTTAACAAATATTCATAAATTAACTGAGATGTATCGAAATATGAGTTTAAAAAATTGATGAATAAAAGATTTATCATAAAATAGAAGGTAAAATGAAAATTTACGAGAATTTGAACGGCGATTATTCATATTAGGAGTGGCAATTCTGACTGTTTAGAACCGATATCTAATGTCGATTTTCACCACTTTTTTAAAGATTAGCTTTTTTCGAGGTAGTTTAGAATTTTGTTTAATATATATATTACTATCTTTATATAAAAAGTGCGAAACATGGCTAATTCAAAACAAATGATCAAACAATTAAT